GAGCAGGATAGAAATACAACAGATAATAACTGAATTTTGGTTCAGTTAAATTATATTACAACTCTAAGGTAATTAGAGAGAATGTCATTCCTTTTAAAGGGTACCTAACTGGTGTTTAAAAGTTAATAATAGACTGTTTATATTTACTTACTACTTGGATATATTTTAATATCAAAAGCCAGACGTCTGCAATATTTCAATTATATTTTTTTAAAGTACATAACTATTTTGAGTCATTTTGAATAATGAAGTAGTAAAAGGTTTGGTATATTACTTATACCTAAGTATGACGTATACCTGTAATATTAAACTAAACCACATCCAAATTTGCTTTCTGAAATTCTCCATTATTTTCAGTGTTGATGTTGGAGCTATATTTTTGAGGTTCTATAGAGTCTATCATAATTCTCCACTTGTAGAAAGGGAATTAAGCTGACCTACCTTAAAGGGCTGTCAAGAAGAAAATAATTAAGAAATAACAGTGTTGATCTTTACACTTACTTCGACATACACTCTCTTACTTACTTGTGTTCAGTTATGATAACTCAAGAATAGACTTGAATTCTAGAGCACGACATTTCCAAAGTTACTTCTTTTGGACAATACTTTATTTTCAAAGTTAAATTCATCAACATACAAAGAATGTCAAAGAGACAGTAAAAACAGCTGGACTCAGATGGGAAAACTGTCCCTAATATTAAGATATGCCTTTGTTACTGAATAAAAGCAATGAGGCAGAGTTGAATACACTGCTCATTAACCCATACCACCATTAGTTAAAATATATTTTCATGGGTACAAAAACCAACAAAAGCAAACCAATATTGGTAGGCACTTTGGGGGATTAAAAAACTCATTGACTTCATGAATTGAAAAGGTTGCTGTACCACTTAGAGAAGAGGAAAAAAGCACCAGAAAATCAAATAAAGAAATGTACACCAGAAAACAAAATCTATAGGCTACCAAAAATCCAAAAAGACATTAAACAAATGATGCACACGAAAGAATACGCCACTGAGAAAAATTATAAGGGAATTTTCATATCATGGCTGTCATCATATCACAAGCTCTATTGGCTCAACATGCATAATGGCTGTTTTCTCTGTGCCATAGCAAATCCTGAGAACTTTTCTCCCCATCTAACTTGTCTTCCAAGTGGGGAAGACAAGCCTAGTGAGGAGTAATCCCAGTGCTACACCCTGTTCACATTTCCAATAGTGAGAACAAGAAAGCAGGGAAATTTCAGAGGGGCAGGGCTTCAGGAGAAGGGTATCCCTCAGAGGCCCTGTAGGCAGGGGATCTGGATCCTTCACAGGCCAGATTAAAGGCCTAAGCAGACTGCCAGAAATAGTGCACATTAAATTGAGGCACTGCCCTGGCTCAGTGCTAGGGAGTCATGGGAATTGTATTATTTTCTGGAACATTGAGCCTTCTCTGTCAGAGAGCTCTGGTGCCACAATAAATTACAGTTCCCATGATTCCCTAGCACTGAGCCAGGGCAGTGCCTCAATTTAATGTGCACTGTTTCTGGCAGTCTGCTTAGGCCCTAAGTCTACAGATTAGAAGTTCCCTCCTCTTGCTTTGCAGCAAAACAGAAAAACTGTGAATTTGGGGGTGAGTAGGCAACATTAAAAAAAAAAAAAAGCAGAATTGACATGGCACATGGTTGCCAGAGTGAAAACTGGAGGGCTTGTACTTTAATGATTGTGTAGAAGAGGGTTTTTAACAGGTGTTACTTGTTACCTGGTTGGGTGACAAGCGACACCTGCTGAAATTCCCTCTTTTACACGTCTGTTAGGTACAAGAGCCCTCTCCAATTTTCATCCTGGCAACTCTAATATGGCAGCTACGGTATGTGCACCAGGTCTTCCACTCCCCTATTTCTCAGAAACAATCATTTGATGTATACAGTGCAAAATCCCGGAGGTTTATTAAGCTTGTACTGATTTGGTGCCTAGGTTTTAAGTTACATCTCATGGGATGGCAAGCTATGTAGTTGTCAGCAATGTTCCCCCTTCTGGAGAGCATGGAAACCATGTGATTTAGTTTGGACCGGATCACAGAATAGTGGAATTCCCTCTCCTTGTTTTGTTTGCGGAGGTAGTCTCCCCGGTGGTTGACAGAGTAGTCCATAGATCTAAGAGATGACAGTGAACCAGCAGAACTTGCCCGAGAGCACTGGGAAGACAGGGAAGAAACTGACCACCCGCTAGAAGAAGTGGAGGTGGACTTCCTAGAAACAGGAGATCCTTCTTTAGAAGGCACTCTCTGATCAACAGGTTTCTGCTCAGGTACAGTCTGATCTGCAGCCATTTCCACAGGCTTCTGGTCTGTTTGCGTTGTGGCAGACTTGAACAAAACGGTTGTCTGTGTGCCCACCATTCTGGATCGAGTTGTTGTCTGTGTAGTAGCAGTTGCCACTGAAATACTGGTTTGTGTGGCACAGCTAAAGAGTGCTGCCATTGGCTTCTCTTCCAGTGGTTCGGTCTGAATTGACTGACTGACTGTCTCTTTAGGCTTTGCTAAGGCTTCAGGAGTATTGTGCAGGTCTTCCTTGCCGCTAAGGTGTGGGCGTTTAGTCTTACCCCTTGGAGTTAATCCTTGGACCTCTTTAGCTAGCAGCAGCTCTTGCTCAAGCTTTTGAGGACTACTTGAAAGCCTAGCAAACTCAGCTCTCAGAAGGTTACCCACAGTGAAGTCTTTGCAAGGTGTTGTTTTGTTAGCTTCATGTTCATAGGCACCACTGTTCCTGCAACTGGATGGTAACTTTGAGTCAATAGGCTTTGATTGTGCATAAAGGATCCGGAACTCCAAGTCAAAATGTTCAACCACTTGACCTGAGAGTAGCAACAAGTTGCTGCTGTTTAACTTTCCATCAGTCCATGTGAAACTGCAGAAGGGATGGAAGATGAAAAAAAGAGAGAAGAGTATTATGCCAAGCACTCTAATCAGAGTATGTTCATTATCAAACAACACTAGCTTTTAAAGAATGGTTTTATAAGTATTTGTTGATTACTTTACCTTGTTAAAAACTGTTCCTAAACATGGGTCTCCAGAAGTCTTTGCCAGTATGACCAGTGATCTGAGATTCTGAGAGTCATAGACAAACAACATCCAGAAACTACTGCTATAAAATAAATCACTTACCAGATAGTAAGCCAGTGTGGTGTTGTGGTGCTAGTGTTGGATTAGAACACTGGAGACCACACTTTAATTCCCTGCTCAGCCATGGAAACTCACTGTGTGATTTTGGGTTAATTACATTCTCTCAGCCTCAGAGGAAGGCAAGTGCAACCCCCCTCTGAACAAATTTTACCAAGAAGATCCTGTGATAGGCTCACCTTAGAGTTGTCACAAGTCAGAAATGATTTGAAGGCACACAACAACAAGGTGATCTGAGAAAATATATCACTCAGGAGATCTAATGAGCCCATCAACAAAGAGAGATCTGGGGGAAAAAGATTCCTTTAACCTATTATTCTGTCCTCTTCCATGTTTAGAAGTACTGTACTAAAGTCAGGAATCAGAATGTAGCAACAATTAGAAGGGTTTTTTCTCTTCTTTTTAAACATACACACCTGTCTTATGAAAGTTCAGAAGATATAATTACTTATTGGCTGAGTCTAGCTGCTTTTTCAGTTTTCCATAACACCCTGGAGCAACTGTACATAGGGTCTGTTGTGCGAATTAAGAGGTATTGGGTGTAGCCATCTGGCACTGCTCAAATACTGCTGCTGGCTGCCATTGCTACCAAGTAAGCACACCAGAGCCCAGCAAGAGAAGAGGAGACCAACAAAGGAAAACTTGGCATAAGAAGCCTCAAACCTAGAATAGGTACTTGCTAGAACAGTTTACAGAGGCTTGAGAGTGCTTACCATAAAAACCAGAGACAAAATTTTAGCTCTCATTTGAATTGTCATTTCTTCAATTTAAACAGTACAGGTGTGGAAAACTCTGGAGATTTTAGGGGGCAATATCTCCGCTGTTTGAAGCATTTGTGTAAACATACATGCCTCCCTCCTAAGGAACCAGGTTTAAAAAACTTGTCTAGATTTTTGTCTTGAAGGAGAAGAAGACTAATAAGTGTCCTCTGCAGAACTGCATTTTTTCCACTCCATGACTCTACAAGCCATAGTAGCCCTGAAAATAAGCAAGAATGTAAAAAAAGTAAACACTGGAAGTAATTGGTTGGGATTGGGAGTAAAAAGAAAGCAAACAGCACATGGGCCACATTTTCCCCATGCCTGTGGTGGAGTGTTAACTTCTTATGAAATTTCTTGAGGTTGAACATGCTATATACCAAATCCTGATCTGTGATCTTCTAGAACAGAAAACAGTTGCATACTTCCATGTGCAAAATATTCTCTCTAGATGTGGCACAGACTTCTTGCTGACTTTTTGTTGCAGAGCCAACAGAGTGTGGCAGGAGGAAAAAGAAACAAGCAGAAACAAGAAGCTCAGGATGGTGGGAACCAGTGCTGGTGGTAAGATTTTTACATGCCTCATGAGTAAGTAAGAAAGGCCTTTGCAGACTGCCAGAAATAGTGCAACTTGAGTCCACTTTAAATTGAGGCACTGCCCTGGTTCAGTGCTAGGGAATTCTGGGAACTGTAATTTATTGTGGCACCAGAGCTCTCTGACAGAGAAGGCTCAATGTCTTAGAAAAAAAATACAATTCCCATGATTCCCTAGCACTGAGCCAGGGCAGTGCCTCAATTAAAAGTGGACTCAATTTGCACTATTTCTGGCAGTCTGCAAAGGCCCTAAGTCAGGCCTCTGATTCTCAATGCACATAGAGCAACTCTCTGAGATTCCAGGAAATGGATAAGAGTATAAAAGCACACATGCCCCTGTCTTGTTGTGTGCCTTCAAGTCATTTCCAACTTATGTCGACCCTATCACTGAGTTTTCTTGGCAAGATTTGTTCAGAGGAGGTTTGCCATTACCTTCCCCTGAGGTTGAGAGGGCGTTACTTGCCCAAGGTCACCCAATTAGTTTCATGGCTGAGCAGGGAATTGAACCCTATTCTCTAGGGTTATAGTCCAACACTCAAGCCACTATGCCACACTGACTCCATAACGTTAATATATTTACATGCCATACTGCCATGTGCAAAAGTAGCTACAGATCACAAGCCTGAAACCAAGGGAACAAAAAGAACCCCAAGGGCACTAAGAATTGAAAACATTTTACTAAGGACAATGGGAAACTCAGTCCATCCCACAATTACAAGCCAGCTGGATTAGCAGTTAAAACATATGTCAACATTTGTGTCTATAACCACACTGGAGAAAACAAGCTAGTTCAGGGCAGCCAGGACATGCAGTTCTGCATAGGACATTTATCAGTCTTCTCCTTTTCTTTCAAGACAAAAATCTTGACACTTTTTTTGAAACCTGGTTCCTTAGGTTTCACAAAACATATGTTTTAACTGGTCCCTCAGGGAGAGGCATATATGCTTACACAAATGCCTCAAACAATGGAGATGGCTAATTGATTTTAGGCCATGGTAGACCTCCCATGGTACCACACTAGCTTTTTTGGTATGAATATAAAAGGCATCAAAGGTTACATACCTGTAGGAGCCTGTAGTTACTCTTACACCATCAACCAACATGAACTTCTCATGAACACTCCCTATTATCTTGGCTCCTGATCTTGAATAATAAGTGTTTCCTGTAATCGTTCGGACTCTCATCAGCTGTTTCAAAAACAGAACCATATTTTAAACAAATCTATCAAGGCAATATCTTCAACCAACCATATTCATCAGAATAAGCTCACATGTGCATTCATCTATCTATCTGGGGTAGGTAACCCTACAGATACTGTTGTACTGTAAGTCCCAGCAGTAGTGAGGAAAGCTGGAAGTTATAGTCCAATAAACTCTGGAATGTTGCATGATTCCCACTCCAACACTTTTTATGGCCTTAGAGCAAGGGTGGGCAACAGAAGGGGCTGGAGGGCCCACAATGGAACCCTGAAGAGCCTTAGCTGCACCATGCTGCCTAGGGACCATGGAAGGTAATTTCACCATATTTTTTGATCCTCTGGGGCAATTTTGCTATGTTCATCCTGGCAGACTGTTAAAGGAGAGATCATTTTTAAAAAATCCACATGAGGCCATTATTCCCATTATTCCCAGCAAGCATAGCAATAACAATGCTGTTGGAGAATTCTAGCAAAGTAATCTCATACATATTGAGGGCAACAGATTGAATGCAGGGGCTGTTCAATACAATAAATCCTCATGGGATTAGGTTTGCACTGTAACTCAAATAGCATTGTGAGCTACCCGTGAATTAGCAATAAATATGATACACAGGAAGGTAAATATTTTGGTACCATTAAGTCTCTTCACATCATCAAGTATGGTTATTACTGAAAGGCTTATCACAGTACTATGTGTAATATGACAAAGTAATAGTCCTCAAATGTACAGACAGGTAGTAAGAGTTCCTTACATTGCTTTGTGACAGAAGTTAACATGTTCAAAACAATATATTTGCTAAGTGATGAAAAACTTGACGAGCTTGTTGACTTTGAATTGTTCTTTCCCTTCTATTAGATTTTTACTTATTTTTGTCATTCAGCTTCTCAGTCAAGTGAGTACATCCTGTGCCTAACCCACTCACCTCTGGTTTTATGCTGTGGAGATATAATCCAGAAGACATGGATGATGGTGAAGTAATTTTCTCCACTATGATCCCTGTATATTCTCACATATTGGGAGACAACAGACCTAGTCCCCTGGTGGTGGGCATAGGGGCTGGCTCTTGGAAGAATACTTGGGAGACCCAGCCCACCCTCACATACTGCAGACATTAGTAGCTTTCTAAATGGAACATGGACCTCCAAGGGATACTTGTTTCATGTTGGCATAAGAGATATGAACTGGAGATGTTATTCATCAGGTAATAATAATAATAATATATTTATTTATATCCCGCCCCTCTGAGATCAATCGGGGCGGCTAACAACAATAAAATACATCATATAAAATCCCAAGACAATACCCACCCACCCCCCTTAAAAAGTATTAAACTAAAGGCAATTTAAAACATTTAAATACATAAAAGTTAAACAACTCAAATTAACTAAACAAACAAATGAAAACAACATACGGTGACAGCAGTAATAAATTTAAAAAGGGCAAATTAGACCGATAAGACAAAATAAAAATTCTAAGGATTCTAGAGGCTGGGAATCTAATCTGGAAAGGCCTGCCAGAAGAGATCCGTCTTAACAGCCTTTTTAAAGCTGTCTAAAGATGTAAGCAGATGGATGTCATCCGGCAGGCCGTTCCATAATCTGGGGGCGACTATAGAAAACGCGCTCTGGGAGGTAGCCAAGAGCCTAGCTTTTTGTGGCTGGAGCAAATTCCTCTCAGAGAACTGGAGTGCGTGGGGAGGATTGTAGGGGCGGTCCCGAAGATAGTTTGGATATGGAATATGGAAGGAACCCTATATAAGTTTACATCTCACTACAGCTTGGAGCATGATGTGTTCCCCTCCTTTGATTAAATGTGTTCTGCTAACCCAAAGTCAAACCATTTTCCTGTTCTAAAACTGAAGTGTTGCACAACTTACATTTTCCTGTTCAGGACAGAATTCTAGATTTTTGCACATTGTCATGAAGTGAGTAAGAAATGCCTGATCCAGAAGGATGTAGACTGGAACCAGTCTTTTTCTACATGCTTCTTGGAGATCACCAAAGATGTCCAGGTCTGTGAAGGAGTCCATAACTATAGCAATAACCTAGGAGATTAAAAAATAACATAAAATAATTTCAAATATTGTTCTGCATTTGGTTAAAAATCAAAGGCCTGCCTTGCTGGGGGAAAGAGAACAGGGAGAGGGCTAACTGAACCTCTTGCGGAGGTTCAGAGCCTGGGAGCAGCTACTGAGAAGGCTTTTAGAATCTAAAATAGTCTTCAGCTTTGTGTGTGCATGTGTATGTGCATGTTTCTACACATACCTTTTAACGAGAAATTGCCATTGCTGTTACTGCACAGCATGTATTTATGTGAGGGTGGGACTGACATGACCCTCCAGATCTTGTTGGTCTGCAAGCCCCAGCATAGCCAATGATGAGTCATTTAGTTAGAGTTCAGCAACATCTGCAATGTTGCATGATTTCCACCTGATTTAGAATGCTTCCTAACTTACTCTTAAATCCCAAGGGATTCCCAAAACAGTTGACAAGGAATGAAGCACATGACCATTTTTTTAAAATAGCAGTATTATTCTTGTTATTTATATAGCACTATTAATGTACATGGCACTTTGCAAGTAAAAAGCAGTAGACACAATACAACACAAGCGGTAAGTGAGCAAGTGTATGTATCATTTACTAAAACAGATGAGGTTTTGGGAGGAAAATGTGAAAGATCTTCGACTTGCACAGGCAAGGCAGCCTTGGCATTAGGCAAACATTTTAAATTCCTCAACAGAAAAAGCTGGCATTCCTAGCTCACCACACTTCACACTGCCAAAGACGGTGAGTCCGGACAGAGCCTTCAGATATTATTCATAACTGTACACATCCACAGGAATGTCACGTATATCCTGAAACTCACTGAAGTGTTAGGTAGAAACAACAGGAATTGGCCTTACTAGTTCTAATTCTGGTAAACAAGGTTCTCCGCTACATTTTACCTAGACCCTATATAAATATTTATTCTTCTAATCCAGAAGGTATACAATGATCCCAAACTTCTTCTGCCCTCTGCCAGAATTTGAAACACCCTCCCTGGAGAGGCCAGGATGGAAAGTCCTTCCTCTTCTTCCAACAGCAGGTCAAAACATTTCAGTGCCATCAAGCTTTTACCAGCTAACTAGGGTTGGGTTTTTAATGCTGGAGATTATCAGATGGGGGAAAAGTCAGAAGTAAAAGGTATAGTCCCAGCATAATCGTGCGATCATGCTGAAGATTTTCAGATGACATTGCACTCATCCAGGACTTATCCTTGAAGATCCAAGAATGCTCCAGCAATAAACCATTCACGGGAAGGCCCAGGAATAGTTTAGTTGCATGAGCATTCCTGGATCTTCATGGGATAAGTCCTGGATGAGTGCAATGTGTCTGAAAATCTTTAGCGCAATTGCACATTTATGCTGGGTGTACGCCTTTAATTCCCAGCTTCCCCCCCCACACACACACACCTGATAATCTCTGCTATGTGGTTCTGTTTTTGAGCTTTAATGTATTTTAATATTTTTAAGGTTTAATGCTTTAACTCCATTAATTGTTTAATTGCTTTTAAACACACACACATTTAGTGTTTTGTATTGTTTTTAATTTGTATTGTTTTAAAATAGGTCATATCGTTT